GAAAAGGGTCTAGGCCCAAAACGTCAGCTTTCCTGCTCCTCTGATGCTGCTTGGCCTGCTGTGTTCATCCAGCTCTACACCTTGTTAAATCAGAGATGCAGTTAGCCTCCAAATGAGCACCAAAAAGACAGAATTGTTGAAGAACATTTTTAAAACTAGTGTTTTAAAGGATTTCTCCATGTCATGAAGGGCAAGTCATCAGACACTTAGGCAAGCATTGAACAAGCAGCAATTGAAGTGATTAATTTCAGGGGGTCAGCTACCTCAAGACCACAAGATGTAGGAATAGAAGTAGGCCATTCAGCCATCGAGTCTACTCTGTCACTCAATGAAATTATTGGCTGGGTAGCTTGTTTCAAATGTTGAGTGACGCCAACAACATGAGTTTGATTCCTGTGCAGGCTGAGGGTCACCATGCTTCAGGAGCTGTGTCTTCTCACTGATAAGTCAGTGAACTTTTATTAGTGAAACAGACACCATGTGTCTCTTGTAAACCAATAGAAGCATCTCGAGGAAGATGATTGAACAGCAACCCTCTGACCTGCATAAGAATCAGAAGGATTATCTCATGAAACAGTGAACTGGAGCCACTGAACTGCCTTCAGCCTACATGGTACTACTTGTAATAGACAGTGATTTTTGTTAGGTGGGATATGGTCTTCAAAAAGTGGGAGGGAATCATCAACTGGATTCAACTGCTCTACGCCAACATCGTTAGTGCAGTCTCAATCAATTGGTGGGAATCAGAAAGTTTCCTGATCAGATCTGGAGTTAGGCAGGACTGCCCACTCTCTCCTCCTGCCCTGTTTGCGTGTTGTTTAGAGCCTTTTGCCGAATCCATCAGGAAGGATATGAGCCTGACAGGGGTGACTATTCCAGGCAGTGGAGGCCTGCAGGTTGAAGCCTCCTTGTACATGAATGACATCATCGTTTTCTGCTTGGATCCACTGTCAGAGCACAGGCTCATGAGCATCTGCAACCAGTTTGAACTGGCCTCAGGAGCTAAGGTAAATCAAGGCAACAGTGAGGCCATGCTCTTTGGGAACTGGGTGGACCAATCCTTAATCTCCTTCACTGTCAGGTTGGACTATCTGAAGGTGCTGGGTATTTGGTTCGGAGGGGCTAGGGTGTGCACCAAAACTTGGGAGGAGCGTGTCACCAAAGTGAAGCAGAAGCTGGTCTTTTGGGAGCACAGTTCCATCTCCCTTGCGGGTAAAAACTTCCCTTTATCCCTCTGGTCTCTGTTGTTGTACATGGCACAAGTCTGACCCTTTTCCCAAACCTGCACCCGTTGCAGTCACCGAGCCATCTTCCACTTCATCTGGAGGTCTAAGACGGACTGTGCCCGCAGAGGCACCGTGTACAATGCTCTGGATAAGGAGGTGGATGAATGTATCCAGTCACCTTTGTGTGTGTCTACATCAAGCTGTGCGCAGCAAACACCACTGCGTATTGAGGTTCTGCCTGTCCCCGGTGTTGTGAAGGATGGGACTGGCCTCGTTGCTGCGAAACGCTCCAAGTAGTTGGACCATGCTGTATCATCCGTCCTTCCTGGAGGAATTTGGAAAGAAAAGCACCCTTGACCACGAATCCATTAGGAAGTGCTCAGCATGTAGCATCCTTGAGATTCTGAAGGAAAAGGGGAGGGTGGATCCTGTTGCATGGTTCCCTGAGCAGGCTGTCAAAGTCATTTAGTAGAATGCCTCATTAGAACATAAGAACTAGGAGCAGGAGTAGGCCATCTGGCTCCTCGAGCCTGCCCTGCCATTTAATAAGATCATGGCTGATCTTTTTGAGACTCAGCTCCACTTACCCGCCCACTCACCATAACCCTTAATTCCTTTACTGTTCAAAAATTTATCTAGCCTTGCCTTAAAAACATTCAGCGAGGTAGCTTCAACCACTTCACTGGGCAGGGAATTCCACAGATTCACAACGCTTTGGTTGAAGAAGTTCCTCCTGACCTCAGTCCTATATTTGCTTCCCTTTAGTTTGAGGTGATGCCCTCTAGTCCTAGTTTCACCTGCTAGCGGAAACAACCTCCCTGCCTCCACCTTATCTATTCCCTTCATAATCTTATATGTTTCTATAAGATCTCCCCTCATTCTTCTGAATTCCAATGAGTATAATCCCAGTCTACTCAGTCTCTCCTCATAATCCAACCCTCTCAACTCTGGAATCAACTGAGTGAATGTCCTCTGCACCCCCTCCAGTGCTAGTATATCTCTTCTCAAGCAAGGAGACCAAAAGTAGAAGATCACCCTCTGAGGTCTTTCTGCCAAAGTATAATGACGTTCTGTTCAGTTGTTGGACCCTCCCAATGCCTCAAATATTATGTAAATATAATTTTGTATAAGTAAATGCCTTTAGTTTGTTCTCCCTATGAAAAGACTGTCAAGAACCAAAATATTTCAGTGACTATTTATGTACATAAAGACTTTTTTTATGAATAAACTTTACTTTTGAAATTAAAATTGTCAGTACCTACACAGTGTACTGAGATATAACAGTCAATGGAGACACACTGACACACACAGAGTCCTGCACAGTCTGCGTCATTCAGTCAACTCACTTTGAGTTGGAAGTTTCTTCATTGTTCTGTTAATGATTACTTTTATCCGAGCAGACTTTTCTTTTAAACACTTTGCTGGTGGAGGCCTTGACAATATTTAGATGAGCAGTGGCATTTGAAGGCTCGGTGGGAATTTCCGACCTGTCGGCTCCCAGCTCAAGTCTCACTTTGTCCGGAACGGGAGCGAGTGCCTGGGGGGGAACTGCGGAAGGAAAACAGGGAGAAAGTTCAGGGAGAAGGAGCATTGATGATCCCAGCGTCAGGGAGGGAGTGTGAGGGAATGAGAGAGGAGGGGATAGAGAGAGGAAGAGGGTAAGAGGTAGAGAGAGCAAGGGACTGAGAGAGAGAGTGAGGGACAGAGATTGTGAATGATTGTGTGTGTGTGAGAAACACAATGAGTGACAGAGTGTGTAAGAGTGAGGTTTGAGGAACTGCGTGTGAAGGAGAGGCTGAGGATGCGTGTGAGGGAGTAGTGAGTGAGAAAGTCTGAGGGAGTGAGGGAGAGGGTGTCAATCTGAGGGTGTGAGAAGGTGAGGGGGTGAGGAAGTTGGATGTTTGACTGGTTGTGAGTTTGAGTGTGGTAGAGTTTGAGGGTGTGAGGGTGTAGCTGGTGTCTTCTTGGGAGCTTAACCTCCCCTCACCATGCCGAGCCAGTGCAGGTTATTGGTGAGGAGTGCAGCCCAGTTGGTGCAGGTCAGTGACAGTGGGGCCCAGTTCCTGGGCAAGGCTGAGATGCAGAGACTGGCTGTGATCACCGGGGGCAGCATTGTCATCAATAGGTAAGAGCTTGCATGTGCACACTCACACACCCACCTCACTCACACTCGATACCCCTCTCGCACTCAACCCCTCACGCTCACACTCAATACCCCTGTCTCACACACACACCTCTCTCACACTCAATACCCCTCTGATGCTCACACTCAATACACCTCTCACACACATCCCTCTCACCCTCACACATCCCTCTCATACACTCACCCCTCTCACACTCACACTCACTACCCCTCTCTCACACACTCACCCCTCTCACATTAACACTCAATACCCCTCTCTCATACATGCCTCTCACACTCACCCACCCCTCTCACACTCACACTCAATACCCCTCTCTCACACACAACCCACTCACACACACATATTTCTCTCTTACACACACTACACTCACATACTCTCTCTCTCTCAGACACCCCTGCCCCATGTATCTGCCTCCAATGGGTGATGGTAGTTTTCTAACCTCACTTTCCAGGGAAGGTGTGATTGAGGCTGTGGGGCCAAACGAGCTGATCCAATCCAAGTATAAAGGAGTTACATTTGACCAAGAAATCGATGCTTGTGGGATGTGTGTACTGCCAGGTTAGTCTCTTAGGGTAGTTGTATTTAATATTAACTTCACAGTGATGACATCTTCACACTCAAGAGTTTCTTCATGCTGTCTTCGTTTTTTCCTTCTAGGTCTGGTCGATGCTCACACTCATCCTGTGTGGGCTGGAGACAGAGTTCATGAATTTGCAATGAAGGTAATTTCACGAAGGAGATAAAACTACAAATACGCAACCCAAACCAGAACGCAGGGCCCCAACCAGAGCGCAGAGCCCAAACCGGAGTGCAGGGCCCCAACCAGAGCTCAGGGCCCCAACCAAAGCGCAGGGCCCCAACCAGAGTGCAGGGCCCCAACCAGAGTGCAGGGCCCCAACCCGAGCACAGATCCCAAACCCAAGCGCAGAGCCCCAACCAGAGCGCAGGGCCCCAAACCAACGCATAAGCCTCTGAACCAGAGTCCAGGCCCCCGAAACAGAGCACTGGGTTGAAACCAGAACACAGGGCCTGAACCAAAACAGAGGGCTCAAACCAGGGCGCGAGCTCCAAAACAGAGCATGGGTTCCAATCCAGAACACTGTTTAGGCCTGTTTAGCTGGGCTAGGCCCGTTTAGCTGGGCAAGGCTTGTTTAGCTGTGCTAAACCAGAGAGAAAGGACTGTCACTGGCCGAAGTTCACCTCAAACATACTGTGACTTAATGGGAAAATGGGACCATGCTACCCTCCGAGAACCTCAGCTCTGAGCATGTTCTGTACAAGAGTCATTTCGGACTTGAAATGTGAACTCTGTTTCCCTCTCCATCGATGCTGCCAGACCTGCTGAGGTTTTCCACCATTTCAATTTCAGATTTCTGGCATCTGCAGTATTTTGCCTTCATTTTGCTAATATTTAGCGAATTGAAAATGCGTTAACTCATTTTCAATTTTCACACCAGCTGACTGGAGCATCCTACATGGAGATTCACAAAGCTGGAGGAGGAATACATTTCACTGTCGAACACACGAGGAAGGCATCAGAGGAAGAACTCTTTGAAAGATTGAGAGGGCGGCTCCAGCGTATGGTCCAAGCGGGGACCACGCTGGTGGAGTGCAAGACGGGCTACGGCCTGAACCTGGAAACCGAGACCAAAATGCTGCGGGTGATTGAGCGAGCCCGAAGAGAGCTCGATATCAGCATCTCCTCCACATACTGCGGTGCTCATTCTGTGCCGAGGTAAATGTGTCATCCTGGTTCACGTGAAGCCGGTCGTTTTATTTCCCACTTACAGGGGGTCTGTACAATGTTTGCAGTACTGCCATCGGATGAGAAATTAACTGTGGACCTGTCTTTGGTTCCAGGTATAATATAACATACATAACAGTATAACAGATAAGATTTAACAAAGCAGATCAGTCACGATCCTGACATGAAGGTAAGCCAGAGTGGAAAGGCTGAATGGCTGATAAAAACACAGAAAGTAGGACCAGAAGTAGGCCATTCCACCCCTCAAGCCTGCTCCGCTATTAAATTCCCTACTCCATTTCCAAATTCCCCCCACCCCTTCATCCCTTTAGCCACAAAAACTACAATATCTACTTCTTTCTTGAAAACACAATGTTTTGGCCTCAATCACTTTCTGTGCTAGTGAATTTCACAGGCTCCCCACTCTTTTTATCCTCATCTCAGTCCTAAAAGTCTTACCCCTTATCCTTGAACTATGACCCCTGGTTCTGAACTCCCCCACCATCGGGAACATCCTTCCTGCATCTAATCTGTCAAGTCCTGTTGGAATTTGATAGGTTTCTATGAGATCCCCTCTCTTTCTTCTAAACTTCAGTGAAAATATCCAAACCGACTAAATCTCTGCTCATACGCCAGTCCTGCCATCCCAGGTATCAATTTGGTAAACCTTCACTACACTCCCTGTACAGCATTAGCAGCCTTCTTCACATAAGGAGACCAAAACTGCACATAATACTTCAGGCAAGGTCTCATCAATGCACTGTATAATTACAGCAAGACATCTGTGTTCAAAATGTCTCATTATGAAGGCCAACATACAGTTTGTCTTCTTTGCTGCCTGCTGTACCTGCACGCTTACTTTCAGCATCTGGTCAAGGTCTCGTTGAACATTCCTCACTCACAATTTATAGCCATTCAAATAATAATCTGCCTTCCTATTTTTGCTCCCAAAGTGTATAACCTCACATTTTTCCACATTATGCTGCATCTGACATGCTATTGCCCATGCACTGAGACTGCCCAAATCACACTGCAACATCTCTGCATCCTCCTAAGTGCTCACCCTCCCACCTTCCTCCTGTTCCTGTATAATACACGTCACCACTTCCTGATGAGGTGATTTGGGGTGATAGGAATGAAGGAGCTTTCTTCCCCCTTTTGATCGGTGACCATCAGTCCCACTCTCAGGCTGGGATGTTTAAGGAACGTTTGGAATTTTTCACAATGTGATTTATTTATAGAGCCAGAAAGCAGTTACTGCTCCATGGAGATCTACAGCACAGAAAAAAGGCCCTTCAGCCCATTGTGTCTGCACTAGTCAAAAACAACCACCTAAATTCTAACAGAGATAGTAGGAACTGCAGATGCTGGAGAATCCGAGACAACAAGGTGCAGAGCTGGATGAACACAGCAGGCCAAGCAGCATCATAGGAGCAGAAAGGCTGACGTTTCGAGCCTAGACCCTTCATCA